TCTCTCTCTCTCTCTCTCTCTCTCTCTCTCTCTCACTGGTGAGGGGGGCATGTCGCAGCTACGTGTTCTCATAAATGTATGTGGTGTCTCATGCAATAGATGGAACCCGCGATTGCATCGACTGTCAACGGTGGAGAGACATGCGCATGGAGACGGAGGACATTCTGAAGGGTTTTGCAGATGGCAGCAAGGAAGGGAATTCGGCAGGAGGGAACAGCGCAGACTATGCAAAGGTGCTTGCTACAATATGTGCATAGACTGCAGAGATGATGGGTGATGGTGATGAAACATAGAACGATGCAGGAGGGAGCACTTGTGAGACGGAAACGACTGGGGAAGATAGAGAGGAGGGAGGTCAGGGAAGCAGGGAATCTCTGACAGGGTGTATTGTGAAAGATGAAAATGTGGTGAAGACATCAGCAGGAGAAGAGTACCCATATGACATCAATTGGGTGTCGGGTCGTTTTCAACCGGTATTGTTGGAGGAGCACCCTGCTTTGCGTTCAAAGTCGAAGGGACATGGGTTCCATTTCCTGCCCCCAAAAAGAATAAATGGCGAAACGTGACTCTGGCAATCGTGTTTGACAGACTATTAAGGTTGAACGATGGGCCAGCAACAGAGGTGAAAGCACGATATGCAATGGACGTGTGGCGTGTTCTGGAGGCGCAGGGCGAGTTCAGGCTGAACGATTTTTTGTACGACAGTTTTGATTGCGGAAAGGCATGGGTGATTGGCGGGAACGACGCAATAGGGAGTACGGCGTGCCACGAGAGCGATGCGAGGAGGGATTCTAGGTGGGGTTAGGTGCCATGTGTGATCCCGATTCCATGTGGCCGTGTGAGGATGATGATGCGTGATGCCATGGGAAATATCTGGAGCACGCATTATGTGAATGGCAACTTCTCCGCCAGGCACCTCGACAGGGAGGTCTCAGAAGACGAGAAGAAGGCAATGGCATGTAATACCCACACTGCTGGCTGCTTTTTCCCGCCGCTTCGGAACCCTGTGGACTCGGATATGAGTGGAGGGAAATTTTTCACTGGTGAGGATGGCAGCACATACACGCATGCAAGAGATATGGGACCATGTCACAATGAGGAGTGACGTTCTGTCTGCCATGGACATTGGGGCCCGTGTCATCCCTGAAGGACAGTTGCAGCAGCATATGGCCCCTGAAAAGTATGGCTATCGTGTCAATTGGGTTCCAGGATGTTTGCATCCTGCAGTGGTTGATGGCAAGGTGACGATGGCAGCAAGACTACAATCAGGGCATTGGCTCCCAGTGGGATGGATGCATGCAGGCATTGTGGAGCATTGGCGGTTCCTCGTGGTTCTGGCACGTGTCTCAATTTTCAATGTGAATGTAAAGGACCACATCCTGGTGGTTGAACACGCAAAGCGGTGCTGGGAGAAAGGGAGGAGGAGCGTCAGATGGTGTGCGTGGGTTATGACTCCATGGCTGACCAGGGGATGTGGTCCATGGTTGAGGGGAGTTGTACGGCCCTAGAGCACAGCGACGGTGAGAACAGATACATGGCTCGCATTCGCCGCAGGCACGTTTGCACGACCGTTCTTGGTTGGGTCCCGGTCGTATGTCCCATGACATATGAGCATGGTGGAGACGTCACCATGAGATTCAGAGACCCGCTTGGTGTGCCTTTCCATCTGACCTATTCAGATGGACTCCTGCGAGACATTCGGTATATGCCGGAGGATGGCTTGCCAGGTTCAGCACAGGCAGGCAAGAGGACAGAGAAGCGATCAGAAATTTCCCGTTTGTCTGCTGAGGTGGAGGGCCCATGTGGTCCTGGTCGCGTCGGGGGGTGCTCTGCAGCACAGGGTGACATGGGCGGGCCGAGCGATGTTGCGATGTTGCGATGTCGCAGAGCCCGGGGAAGAAAAAGAAGTGCACGCCGGGACCGCCACGTGGGCAGACGCCCGCAGGCAGAAAGAAGGTGAACCCGAAGGCGGTGCCAGGGACCAGAGACACCGCAGGTGCACGAACTCCAGTCCCCAGACGTCGCCGACGCCCCGGGATGGCAACTTTGTCAGAAATCAAAAAGTTGCAACGATCCACCGACCTTTGCTTGGCTTTCAGGCCGTTCTTGCATCTCGTGCGAGACGTTGTGGAGCGGGACATTGCTCCGGGTATGAGCGTGAGGTTTCAGATGACGGCGGTGCGTGCTTTGATGGAGGCTGCCGAGGCGTACATGGTCGCCAATTTCGAGAACACCAACGAGGTGGCCATCCATTCGAAGAGGGTGACGATCCAGGTCAGGGACATGAGACTGGTGGATGGGTTGTCGAAGCCTCGCTGGGTTGAGAAATATCAAGGTATGTTGGACGAGAAGGCGAGAGCTGAGGAGAGACAGGAACGGATGGACGCCAGACAGGCGGAAAGGGATGGCAGCAGAGCAGGGGCGAAGAAGAGGAAAGCAGTGCCACGTAAAGGGGGGTCCGCGGAAAAAAAAACAGCTTGATAATTCTACTGTGTGTGCTGCATAACGGTTGTCCTGTCGAATCGTGGACTCCGTGGAAGTCTTCGTGGTGTTAGGTGGGTTGAATAGAGAGAGAGAGAGAGAGAGAGAGAGATCAGGTTCACTAGTGGGGGAAATGAAGGTATTGAAGGACGACTCTGTCGCTGATTTTGGCTCGCAGTAGTGAACCCCATATATTCTTCTTCTCTATCTTTCTTTCTTTCTTTCTTTCTTACTTTGTTTCTTTTTTTTTTCCATTTTTATTTTCTTCTTCTTCCATTATTCAAGTCTTTCTTTCTTTCTTTCTTTCCGAATGATCGTCCTTTCGGTGGGCTCCAACGGCGGAACCTGTTGCCAGTTATCACTACTTTCGTAGTCCCGGGTCTTTCGGCCTTGTACGTGTTTTTCATTTCCGCCCTCTTGAAGACTGGTTGGCACCCGGAGGTCTATGTAATGTGTGTCCTAGCCTTCGGTCCACTTACTGTAGGTTTCCATGTGAATGCATGTACTTTGGATCTTTACCAAAATGCGTTTGTAGATGTTTGCCATTTGGACGGTTGTAAAGGTCTGTAGGTGCGTGGTGCATTGTACGTCTACGGAACTTGGGTACAAGTAGGCCACTCGTTGAATTAGGGGTTGTTGTCGTTGCTTTTCTTACCACGGGCTTGGTGGAGGTCTCATTGTCTGTCTATTCTGTTGTTGCGGACATGTGCGCAAACCATCACAATATCCGTATGTGAGTGTACACTAAGTGTGTTTGTTGTTTCCTTTCTCTGACTCTATATTCTTTCATCCAGTGATCTGTAATTTATATGCTTGGTTTGTTAGCATCAACCCCTCTTCTCCCTCTTCCACGTGTGCACGCGCTTCTCTCTTTCCCACCCTCTGTCTGTCTGTGTGTTCTGTGTTGCGGTCCTGATCAATTTCAGAGTGTTCACTCGGCAGAAAGTTCAATGGCGTCCAATTGCAAAAAAAAAATGTTTAAACATGAGGGGAGAGAGAGAGAAAAAGGTCATTCTGAATCCTGCTTCCTCCCCTTTTATTCAAACAAGAAAGAACAATAATAATGTTGAATGGCTGAACATCATCTATGTTGCATTGACGAATCTTTGTCGCAGGAAGAAATCCTGCATAGGTCAAAGATATGCATGGACAACACAAAGCACTTATGTGGTCTGTCTGCTCCGTCTGTTGTGTCTGTCTGTCCATCTGTCTGTCGGTCTGCTCTGGTTTGTATGTCTGTCTGTCTGTCTGTCCGTCTGTCTGTTTGTCAGTTTGTCTGTCTGTCACCTTGTCTGGTCATTCATTCAGTCAGTCAGTCAGTCAGTCTGTTTGTTTGTATGTCTGTCTATGTGTCTATCTGACTGTGTGTCTTTCTTTCTTTCTTTTTTTCCGTCTCTTTGTTTGTCTGTCTGTCTGTCTGTGTGTCTGTCTGTCTGGTCTGTAAGTGGATGAACCAGAATCAAAGTCTGTCTGTCCGTCTGTTTGTGTGTGTGTGTGTGTGTGTCTGTCTGTCTGTCCGTCTGTCTGTCTGTCTGTCAGTGTCTCCTAATCTGTCTGTCTGTCTACTAATCTGTTTGTCTGTCTGTTTATCTGTCTCCTAATCTGTCTGTCTGTCTCCTAATTTGTCTGTATGTCTGTCTGTCTCCTAATCTATCTGTCTGTTTCCTAATCTGTCTGTGTGTCTGCCTGTCAGTCAGTCTGTCTGTCTGTCTGGTCTGTAAGTGGATGAACCAGAATCAAAGTCTATTTGTCCTTCTGTGTGTGTGTGTGTGTGTGTGTGTGTGTGTGTGTGTGTGTGTGTGTGTCTGTCCGTCTGTTTGTCTGTCTGTCTGTCTGTGTGTCTGTGTGTGT